GGTGGTAGGTGAAGGTGTGAAGTGCAGATCAGAGCGGATGGGGGGTGGTAGACGATCCTTTTCAAATCTGCTGTAAAACACATTCAGATCGTCAGCCAGTTGTTGATTCTCCGCAAGCTGTGGAGGTGGTGTCTTGTACATGGTGATGTTCCTCAGACCAGTCCATACTGACGCTGGTCTAAGGAACTACAAACAATACAAAACTGCTATAAGAAGCAGAAAGATTAATTAATTGTTTACCTGGGTCTTCAGTCTATGATTAGCTCACCTCACCTCTTATCTGACAAGTCTTCGGGTTTGGGCTTATGGGTCACGTGATGAATGAACGACTCAAACCCGGAGACTCGAGAGATGAACTAATCAATTCTCTTTCCGGCTCAGACTGCATTGGTTAAACTTATGGGGCTGTCACATGATGAACGAACGACTCGGAAAAACCCAAAGACTCGAACCAGGTTAACTACTTGACTAATTCCAGTACAGAACCTATAGGATGTTGTGGATGCGCGACTGAACGAATCACTCCCCGAGACGACTCGTTCTTCCCGAGTCACATTAAAGATTTGTTCAAAATGAACGAATCGTTCAAGAAATAACTGTTTGCCATTTTCTGACCTATGCCTGTTTTTGACCACGTCTCTGTTAATAAAGCCTTGCAGATGGATCTGCACGCTTCCTGTGTTCCCTCCGTAACAGAATACACGGCCCCACAAGGATCCAGCGGTTTTCTGAACGACACTGGCCAGGTATGGACACCGCAATACTGTTATTAGCTCTCGAGCAGGGCACCCGATCGCTCGAGAGCTATATTCAAGAGTATTTAGATCTTGCATGTTTCTCTGATCTGCCGGACTGTGTGCTGATAGACTTCTTTTGTGAGGGCATTAACCAGCCGCTCAAATCGCGACTAATACGTGAGAGTCCCCGTTCATCTCTAAGTGATTTTATGGACTATGCTTTGTTGACTGTTGGTTCAACGTTCACTGTGGACATCGCGGAGGAACGCGACCTCGCACTCACTCATGTAATGGCGGCCACACTAGAGCACACTCACAAAATGGCGGACACAACAGCACCACGTTATGTCACAGCTGCCAATCCTGAGTCAAATCAAGTCACAGTTGTTCTTCATGAGTCAAGTCAAGTCACAGCTGATCTTCATGAGGCAAGTCAAGTCACAGCTGATCTTCATGAACCAAGTCAAGTCACAGTTGATCGTCATGAATCAAGTCAAATCACAGTTGATCACCGTGAGTCCAGTCAAGTCACAGTTGATCGTCGTGAGGCAAGTCAAGCCACAGCTGATCTTCATGAGTCAAGTCAAGTAACAGCTGATCTTCATGTGTCAAGTCAAGTCACAGTTGTTCTTCATGAGTCCAGTCAAGTCACAGCTGATCACCCAGAGTCATGTCACGTCACAGCTGATCATCCAGAGTCACGTCACAGCTGATCATCCAGAGTCAC